AGAAGTATTTCTCTGGTCAGTGTGGTGCTCAACAAGAACATATCTGCAAATGTTGATGGAAAATAGAACACTCCAGACTTATGGCATCATTTTCAGTTCTCACAGTGTCTGACAGCTTGTAGAATCAGAATGGTGGTATGCTTCACTAAAGATTACACCATTAAAGTAGAGAAGAATTATTTCCATATTTGACAAAGATTCCAGAGAGTATAATAAACAGTGTTGTTTAGTAAGGAGAAGAGAGGTAGGTAGGGTGTTAATACATAGACAGCTTTCCATTGGAAAAATAATTAAGATATGTTAATAATTAAAATATTAACTAAATAAACCATAACTACATTGATCAGTTCACTAGAAAGGCTGAAAGACAGACAGACCAAAGCTTAAATATATTGTTTTCTTCTTAAAATGAGATAATTATTATTCACTAATAACCTTTTCTTTAGACTCACCTACAAACAGCTTTGACCTCGTGCCATTGAAGGCATCATTGCCTACTGAGAGGAAGCCATTCATAACTTCACTTCTTCTGAGATAGATTATTTTCCTAACTTTATGTCTTTCTATTCTTTGTTGTCCTATAAAAGGGTGTCTGGAATTATCTCTGTAAACTATCTTGGTAAAAATTTTTCTTCCCTTTTCAATTTGCTGAGACAGCAACAGCAACTATTCAGCAACTAAAAGGTTGGGATGCTCCTCTAAGGTATATCTGTAAAGACATTTGCTGAACTCTTTGAATGATGAGGGGAAACCTATCCTGGATGTTATCATGCCATGGGCTGGTGGGCCAAGATGAATATGGTGAAAGAAGGAGGAAGCTAGTTCCCATTCCCCTGTCTCCCTACCCACCATGATGTACACTGGTAGGTTCCAGTATGTCCTCACTGTCTTGACAGGTTGAATCCTCTCAACTATGAACAGTGCAATTTATTTATTTAGTTTTTATGTATTGGAAAACAAGTGATGCTATTGGACATTTTGTCAATATGATGAGAAAAGTAACTTACAGAGGCTCACACACACATGTAGCTCAGGCTGGCCTTGAATTTGTGATATTTCTACCTCACCTCTGCACAGTACTGAATTTGTAGATATGGAACACCACAACTTGTTCAAAGGTTTTTTTTCATTTCCTTCCTACCTTCAGAACTCATTGTTCTTTATTATAGATCCAATCCAAATTCACAGGAAGTTTCCAAGTTTACCTGAACAGACATCTACCTGGTTCTAGGGTTTCCTTTGAGATTTAAATGAAAATGTCTCTTGTATCATTAAGTTTTAGCATATATATATATATATATATATATATATATATATATGTTTAAGCATATATATGCATATATATCTATATATTGCATGTTGTATAAAATAGGTGCATGTCTGCAATTATGGGTGGTAATGTAGTAACTGAATATAAATAAGATAGCAAATGTTAAAGAGAGTAAAAATATGAAAACCAATTTACAGTGCTACTTTGTTAACACAATATGAAGCTATTGCAGTTTGTAAATCTCATGGTGGTAAAACTTTCCTTTGTTATATAACTGTTTCTGAAGTTTCAGTTTAGCAAATTCCCACTGAACCCAAAACTAGATTCTTCTCAGCTTCAAAGAGAGAGCCCATGATAGAAGGAGACTTGTCTTTCTGAGCGTAAAATCACGAAACTGCATCTGAGCAGAAATAAGGAAGCCCGACTTTCATCCCAGCTCATCTCTAATTAGTCAAGGGACTTAGTTTGGTTCCCAAGATTGGGTTGAATGTCTCTAACTTGTTCTGTTCTTACCATCTATAACTCTGTCAGCACTCATTTGTTACTTCAACAGACAAATATATTTAATAGCATGCACAGTGATGATGTTATTTGTTTATAACATGGATATTCAGATCTCATCATTTCTAACTAGAAGCTAATGCTTTGATATTTAGAATCAACCCAAGTGCTAATCACCTGCCACTAAAAGCTGGGATTTACTTCTCCATCTCTCTCTTTCTCCAACTCTGGAGACACTGGTAGAGGTCTAGAAGACAATTCTTTAACATTTCCCTGGACACACAACAAGCAAGAATTTACTTCATGCTTGGATGTTTGTTGATAGTGAGACTCCTGAGTGGCTGATGGAAGACTGAGGCTGAGCTAACCTGACAGCTTGAGAGCTTAAGAGCATCGATTAGAGCATGTGCGAATTTGACCTTTCCACTGCCTCCAAGCTTGTGGCTTTGGTTCCTACAAAAGGGTTTTTGTTTGTTTGTTTCTTTCTTTCTTTGTTCCTGTGTGTGTGTGTGTGTGTGTGTGTGTGTGTGTGTGTGTGTGTGTATGTATGTGTGTATGTGTGAACCCATATGCACATGTGTGCATGTGTGTTTAAGAAGAAAACTTTTTTCCCCCATTTTCTGCAGTGATCATTCTGTCAAAACAATAAGGGATATAAGGACCCATGAGTATAATTTTAAAACTCTTATAGTAGAGACAAAGCTGATGAGGAGTCAATTTGGGAATCACATTTTTTCTGTGTGCATGGATATACATGTCTGTGTCAAGCAGTTTTGGAAGAACCAATTTCCCACAAGATATTCTGTAGCTGCTGATCATGCTGCCTATTGGCAGATATTCACATTGCACTTTTTAATTAGGTGACAAAGCAGTCCCACATATAGAGTAGTTGGTGCTAATGAAATTTACATAAGGAACCAAAGGAATTAAACAGATGTGAAGATTACCATTTTGCACTTTTTCTTCCTACTTGTAGTAATAAAAAAACGTGTGAATTGAAATGTAAAGGAAAATAGCAATTGATTTCTAACTACAAGTGAAGAGTACTAAATAAGAAGTTATACTCATAAATATAAACAGGTTCCTGGATGTTTCACTTTTACAATGTGTAACAGCATCAAAGATGCACTATTTGTCTATTCGAATTCTAGGTCATGTTGAAAATGGTGTAAAATGTTTACCAACTAATTCTGGCTTCGCTTACATGTAGGAAATGAGGGTTATTTCCATTTCACTTTGGGTTGCTATTAGCGATTCAAATGTGAAAGCAGATTCAACCAGAGAAAGGATAACTCTGAGTCTCACATTCTTTATCACCACTAACTTCACTTTTGACATTACTTTTGATTGGTAAAGTTTATCCAGTTTCCTGCAGTAATTCAAATGCTCTCAACATCTCACAATTAAGTGCACTACACTCTACAAAGTACTCCTCAGTCCTCCACACTCACACCTTGGGAAGTGCACACTCACATCCACATTAAAAGATAGATAGCAATACTAATGATATCCAATTATTATGAAAAGATTTTTGTTGATATTTCTGAAAATTCCAACAATCTTTAAAAAAAAAAAGGTACATCTCAATGTTTAAGGAAACTTTTCTTCCCTAAAATACACATTAGAGCTGGGAGCCACTGAGCTGATTGATCATTTATGTGTTAACAACCTATCTGAAATACTTATTGATTTGGATTTTTTATTGATGTATTATATATTATGGTTCTTAGCTTGGCATTCTTTGTGGGACTCCTAACAATAGGACTGGGTATATCTCTAACTCTTTTACATGCTCTTGGGACTTCATTCCTCTTGTTGGGTTGCCCTCTCCAGCCTTGCTATGGGGGCTTTTGTATTGTCTTATCTTGTTTTGTCCTGTTTGGCTGTCATCTCTTGGAGCGCTACCCTTTTCTGAAAAGGAAATGGAGGGGGAATGTATTTCTGGTAGAGGAGAGGTGGTGGTGGGAACTGGAGAGGTGGAGAGATGGGAAACTGTGACCAGGATTTGTTGTATGAGCAAAGAATCAATTGAAGATAATATATATGTATACAAATATATGTAAATTTGTGGGTAAAAATAATTGATTTCCCTTATAATAGGTAGTCTACTGTAAGCCCATAAGGTGGGTGACTGCTTTGACATGATTTGAGGCAAGAGTTCATTTTAAAACAGTAATAATCCTCTCCTGGAGTAGAAATAAATTGTAGTATTTTATTCTTCATTGCATGCCCTAGAGCTAGCTTGCTGCATGCATGGCAGATCCTCAATGAGCATAGGTGGAGAGAATCCCTGGGCAAATAGACATAGCACTGTATGATGTGATTCATGGAATAAAGGGAAGCAAAATAGGCTTGTAGACAGGAAATGGGGATGATTTTGAAGGTCTGTTTTGCAGTAATTTCTCATTAATGATGATGCTACTTTTCTACCGACTGCTTAGCAGGGGAACATCTGATCTGCTCTCTGTGGCCAGCTCATTGATTGTGTGGGTCGATGCAATCTGATGCATAAAGAACCGAGTAAGTGGGAGGCAGTGTTTCCTAGATAACTGCTAAGAAGAGATAGTTTACATTTGATGCCTTCAAGCTGTGCGGTCTCACATAGAGTCAAATTAGAAGTAAAAGCCATCCTAAAACTGACAAGTTTCTCTTTTATTGATAGGCGTAGCATTACTGAAATTAGTTAGGCTGAAAGAAAAGTGAAATACACCAAATAGACACTAAATCCTTATGAAGACAGGCAAGAGGCTGCTCCTCTCTTTTTGATATACGTATACTCTGTCATGGACATACACATATTTGGATTTGGGGACAGGACCTTGGATTACAGAGGCTCTTATTCTGTGTCTGTTTTTAGTCTCCTGAGCTCCTCTAGTGCTGACTGTTTTACAGCTCATTAGTACTCGCATTGCATGTAAGTCTAAAGCATTTACTTGGTCAAAACTCCAACGATATCATCTTTGTTGCCAATTTCCAAGTGATTTGAACAAACAAACAAAATGAGAATACAAATCTAAACATTTACATTGTAACAGATACAAAAAAAATATTGTTAAAGAGAATATGACAGTTGGAAAGGGGAATTATTTGTATTATATATACATTTTAATATGCCCTAATATATTGATTTGATTTATTTAGTATCTGTTTAGTTAGTTCCTGACACAAATTAAACAGCAACATGATGCTAATGTTTTTGCTCCCCATGGAGAGAAGGTTTAAATAGTACCTGCCAGAGAGGGTCTTTCTGCTCAGGGAAGAGCTCAAAGTACTTGTGGGCCAGTTGTACTGGAGGCAGGGTCTGCAGTTTCAAGTTGGTCCAGCTGTGCACAAAGTTGGCCAAGTTCACAAAGGTGTATAAGCCAAGGCGGTCATTCCCATAGTTAGATAGATGTGTCATGAAAATGCTGATCTGAAAAATAAATTAAAATGACTACTCAACATCATCACCTTACACTCCAAAGTAGTAGTATGTGATTCAGGAAACACCTCTCCTTGCTTCGGAATATCAAGCGAAGTACAATTACATATTTGGATAGGAATCCACCTAAATATTTTCTAAAATGACACTGTAAGTTACGGTTAAAATTAAGACTGAATTAGAGGCCAGCGTTAGCTCATTTCTAACCAGAAGCATAGTGCCAATTTCAATATCAGTTTTGCTGTATTGTGAAGCCAGTGTCATGAACCCCAAATGAAATAGTTTCTGGAATACTGAGAAGCTAAAACTAAACCACCTGTAAAGTAAAGCAACTCTTTGATTTCTTTTCTGATGGAATCAGGCTTGAATAAACTTGTTTCTGTGCTTTAATGAGGCTTTTATTTGCTTCTTCACTAAAATAAAGGTTAAAGAAATAATGAATCTTTAAGGAGATAGGTAACTGATTGAAATATTGCACAATATATGTATGGAAACATTACAGGGTGGCATACTAATATATACAGTTTTTTATGTTTTGATGGGTGATTGAAAATAAATTCAGTGTAAAAAACAAATGTTGCAAAGGTTTTGTTTTTGCATTAGTAAAGAGCTGCCATATTCATTAATCTTTTACAACTTTTCAGATCTCATGTAAGCTCTAAAAATATTCTGCCATTTCAGTGTTGTTCTTTGTATACCACAGGGGGCGGGGGAAATACACAGATCTTGATAGACCATGCAAAAATTTGCATGATATTAAAGATATAACCTAGGGGAAGCTCATGGGCCCCAGACTGACAGCTTGGAAACTAGCATAGAATGGAACCAGCATCCCCTGCCCGCCCCCCCCAACCCCCGCTGCACGTGGGTGACAGTTAGGAGACCCGGGCAGTCTATGGGGCCCCTGGTAATGGAACAGCATTTTAAACCTAGTATGTGAATGGATATTGGGAGCCCATTCTCCATAGAGGTATACTTTCTCAGCCTAGACACAGGGGTGAGGGCCTAGGACCTGCCCTAAATGATGTGACAGACTTTGATGATCCCCCCCCCCCCCCCCCAGAAGCCTTACTCTTTCTATGGAGCAGAAGAGGAATGGAAATGAGTCTTTGAGGGACAGGGGACAATGGGAGAGAGATAGAACTGGGATTGATATATAAAATAGGATTGTTCCTAATTTAAATAAAAAATAAACATATAACCTAATATGCAGTCCATCAGGCATTGCAGCAGAAACTCAAGCATTAAATAAAAGAAAAACTGTACAATCCTGATATAAGTTGGAGAGATTATTAATGCAAGTACGAGAAAGAATCAATCATTTTCTAGCAACAATAATTTACACTTGTTTTTAGTTCTTTTATCATTTTCGAACATTTGCATTTTAAATTCCAGATGGATTTTACTGCTTCATGGTTCATATGTATTTCCGAGCAACCCAAATATTCTAATTAAGGACTTTATTAACTTCATTTTAAAGTAATAGTTCCACAGTGCCATAAAGAATAATATTAGGACGTGTATCTGGAATTGTGTGCTGAACATATATGGAGTAAAAGCCAAGAATCTGTGGGTAGCGTTTAATGTAGATGTTCAGTTTCTTTCCTTCAGAGATGTTATCCCTTGGTATGGTTATTCATAGTATTTGGGAATAGAAAAATAAAATTATAAATAAAGAAACTATTTTAAACCATTTTCTTTGCAGCATCATTAAAATAGTAGCCATGTAGCAAACATTAAAATACAGTCCCTCTGTATTTTAATTCAATCCCAAGATTGAATATTTTCACTGAATAACTATAAATGACCAGAGAGGAAGTCTTTTATCTTAAAAAACGTAAGAGCATTGTCTTGCACTAGAATATAATAAATGATGTTCTGTCAGAAAATTATAATTTCAAGAACAAATTTTATAATTTGAAAGACTTTTCACTTTGTAAAAGATGTTATCTTTCTGTCTGTCATACTATGACACTGGAAAGGTCCCTGAGGACAGCTAATTAAAATCATCTGCCAGGCCTCACCAGCTTTGGAAATAAAAAGGAGAGGATGAGAATTTGGCCTTTTGGTCTTAGTGTCTCCAAATTATAAAATTAATGTTGCAAATGATATGAAACTAACTTGTGGTAGGCATGATTAAAAACCTTTCACATGTATGAAAAACCTTTCACATGTTCTTCATACTCTTGCAAGGTAGATAGCTTTATAGACCCTTTCATAGGTGAAGAAATGAAGTCAAAGAGTGGTTAAATAATTTGTCTAAGTTCCCATTGAAGAAAGTGAAGAATAGGAATTGAACTCACAAACCTAATAAAAAGTCATGTCCCTGCAACTTCACATGAGCAGATTTCTTTTTTTTACTTCATTGAATTTAACATTATCTTTTATTTAAAAAAGGAAAGAAGAAAGGAAAAAGAAAAATTTCTGTAGAAGACATTGGGAAAACCCATATATTATTTTGAGAACTCATATTTTTTTCTGAATTAGAATGGCAGAAAATAACTCACTGAAAGCTTATTTCCAGTACTTGATATTGAACCTGGAGCCTTGGCTCTACCACTGATCTGTATCTCTAGCTACATTTCTTTTTTTACTTTGATGCTGGGTCTTAATAACTTTCCTAGACTTGCCTAGAATTCACTTTTCCAGTCTGGTTTTCTTTTTCTTTTTTTCTTTTTTTTAATTTGTGTATTTCATTTATGTGTATGATTCTTTTGCCTGCATGCATGTCTGTGCATGACATGCATGTCTGGGGCCCATGAAGGACAGAAAAGGGCATAGGATTCCATGGTACTGGAGTTACAAAGGGTTGTAATCTATGATGCATCACAGCCCTCCTTATTTCTGGCAGTTAAGTCAGTTAGGTCGATGAATTCCAGTGTCGTATCTGAAGATAACACCATCCCTTTCCTATTCTCCTCCATTTCTCCTTCTCTGGGGGTATAATCAAAGATGTATACTCAAAAGGTCAAACAAAAGAAGGGATATTTACAAGTATGTAATTTGCATAATACGTTTATATAATGTATGTGGAAATTTAAAGAAGTCACTAAAACATTAGCTGGCACTTTTTTTCCCCCCTGAAATGCATCTGAAATCATTTGAATAAGCTCAGATGCCCATGCCACCGGTCTGTCCATTTTTCAATACCTCAGTCTTACACTCTTTTATCCCAAGTAGGAAGTGAATTTGCTTCAAGACCCAGCTATGGAGTTTTCAGAACACATTCTGGTATCTATATAATTACTCCTCCCATAGGTGAGATTATTGTCAATCACTACTGCCATGGAGAAATAAAAAGGTGTAGGTGGTGTCCCTCAGAACAATTATCTTTTCTCATGACTGAAATTAGTATAAAAATGAAGCACAGGCTGAACACCCCAAATAAAAACATAAAACTCTTGAAATCCAGCACCTGTCTCATCATTGTACTTCAAGATGGAATTTGAAGCACCCATATAAGTAGTCTGAAGTCTGAGGAAAATACAAAGAAAAATTGACTTTGGAAATACATTAAAGATTATTTTTACATCACAGTAATGTGTACTATCATTCCATTTGGGTTTTATGATGGTGATGTCAGAATGTTTCTAGCACAACAGTTCTAAGCAGTATTTCGTATATTTCTGTGGGAGAATCTCTGATTCAGAGGGGAAGCAAAAGTAGTTCTGGGAAAATGGAAACAGCCTTTGACATTAAGTGGGGGTATCTGGTATGCTATCCTAAGCCAAATCTGGTGGCTGCACTAAAACTCGTTTTAGCTGCATGTATAAGCAAGCCATCAACCTTCATGACTGCAGTGTCATATGGGCACTGTGTGCACATGCTTTAATGGTTAAGAGCGAATTAGTGCTGGTATATGGTCAATTGACTGCACTTTAAGAAAAACAGTTTTGCAAGCACAGCTTAGCTGTGCATATCTGGCTTGCTAAAAGTGCCTTTTGTGCAGACAGAGCACTTTAGCTGTAGCATTTCTGGACAAATAGCTTATTTAAGAGGGGAAAAATGTTCAGAAAGTGTAGGGAGAAAGCAAATTAAGACCGTGGCTAAAGGCTTAAAGAAGGTAAGTCAAGGGATATGCAGGGTAAGATAATAGCAAATAATTAATTTTGTGAGAGTGACTGCCCCTCTGCTTGTCAGCCCCTTTAATTAGTTACTCAATTTGATCATTATTTCCCTAGCACATACTAAGAATACCTTGACTTAGTATGACCTACAGGATTACCTAAAGTATGTATGACTTTGTCACATGGGTGCACACTGTTGATAGATATGACTCTGTATCTCAAAATATTGTAGCATAGAGCTCTGAACTGACTCAGAAAAATCTTCCTGTGACAGATGACGGGCAAGCACAACTTAGTCGATGGTTTATTTTGAGAATACTGTTGCAGTGCTGACATCCTTAGACCTTCTGGATTTCAGAAACTGGAGGCTGTTGTGTTTGTGTGATTTAGTGTGCTGCTGGATCACCTCTATCTTGTCTTTAACTCAAGTCTCTCAACTCAATTTTACAAAACAAAACAAAAAAAATCATGTTTAAATTCTTCCTTCTTTTAGATGCAGCAATATAAAAAGCAACTTCTCAGCCTCTGTCATAGGGTAATACTTCATTAAGAACCAAAAGCTTTCTTCTAGGCAAATGGCCTAGAAGTCTGTATCAGAAACTATTCCATGGAAGAGTTTGACTAACAATGCCTCTTATAGTTCAAGGACTGTGCTAGCTTATAATCCCACTACTGAAAACTGAGGCAGGATGCAAGCAAACTCCAAACCATCCTGGTCTACATAATGAATTTCTGTCTCAAAAGAACCACAAAAGGTCTTAAAGATTTTAATGAGCAATACGTATATCTTCGTAATAGGATATTGAGTGACTATAATTGAACTCTATAATCTTTAACTGAGTATAAAAGTGATGGTGTGGCAATAAATGGGATACTTATTGACCCCATACCCCACCCAGAAATAGGATTTCACTATGCAACCTT